TAATGTGAATTATTTTTAATATAATGTCAATTGTTGTGAGTAAATTTATTATAAAAAAACACTTTCCCATTAAGATAATAAGTGTTATTACTTTACGCTCATTCATTATTGTTCTTTCTAGTTAAAATTCTGTAAAACAAATGTGTTTGTTTCTTTTAATGTGGTATTCCTGCTAATAAACTTAATTACTGGTATTGTATAATTACCAACGAAATTCCACCATTTCATGGCAATTTGACAGTTTAAAAACAAGTGTTCTGAAAGTCTACTGCATGAAAAAAGTGAACACAATAGCGAATGTTTTATCTTACAAATATACAGCATGGAAGTAAGCGATGTTGACGTTTCCATTGAAGTTCTCTTGACTTCATGTCGATTGTTACATTACAAACCATATTCCATTATTGTTACTAAATGTATATATGTACAACGAGTGTACACATTAGTTGTCTTATCGCAACTGCTGACTTATCTATAATAACATTCAGTTCTGCTTAACTTAAAAAATGCACTATGATCTCCAATTTTTTGCGAACAGCATCTGAGAACTCTAGAAATCTAAAGATGTCGGTTAGCCCATGTGATCAACAATCTTAATAGATTGATTGTCAACGTTGAGGGCGCTGTAACATTAGAATCGACGAGCGCATTAAAGATTTTTAATACAAGTATTACAAAGACATACAGTATATTCACTCTGTTTTGAAGGGTTATAAAATTATTCGGTAAGTAATGGACCAGCCGTATGATATACGATAGGCAGGACATCATTGTTCTCTTCATACTGGCCACGCATTCAACACACTGATATAAACGCAGCTATAATTGATTCAACATGTTTGAGCACAGTACGCCAAATAACATGTTGCTGTAAAAACATGTTCACTCATTTGCATATATGACTACAGTATGGCAGTTGTTTCGTTGAAGTACTTGAAATTTTACATGACTCCGTCACAATTGTATTGTTCTCCCAGATTTAATATGTTTCATTTATGTTTCACACAATAGATAGATTAAAGCGAAACTGGGAGCCTTTCGTAGATTTTCAGTGAGATAAAAGTGTTTCAAATTTCGTATTTTTTAATTAACACAGAATATAGTTTACTGAGAAATTAAATAATAAACTTCATTGAACTTAAATGCGGGGCGGGGGGGGGGGGTCGTCGCCCAATTTACCACATAACCCAAAGTTCCACTGGAGGTTTCACACGAATTGTGTTCACTGGAGGTGAAAAAATCGCCTAATAGACGGGCACATTAAAAATATACCAATGGAGGTCATCCAATGTATGTCAACATCGGTATAAACCAAATTGAAAATAAACTCATTTCTCATTTTTTTCAATAACATACTTCCAATAAGTAAACTGAGTATAATTGTGCCAACACCGGAGATATTTAGTTTTGGTTCATACGTTGAAATACATTAATATGAATCGTAATATTATTACCAACACTCAAAAATGTAACACAGTGTAACATTTCCCTTTTATATAAAAAGCGAGGTTGAATAATGGCATGGCTAAATAATTTCGATCAAAATAAGGATAAACCACTGATTCGGTGGTTCATACATAACGGGATTAACGATAATACGTTGCAACTTGTTTCGTATCGCACAGCTTATTACGCAACAATACATAATTTACGTCCTGGGAAGTGAAATAATAAACCAATCGGACTTGACCTCGATGCGAAAGTGTAATCACTATGTGACAGTATGAGAAACTGTGGTATAACAGCTGAGTTAAAATGATAACGGATTGCACAGTAAACTTAAAATCGACTCAATTTCCCTTGATGGGGCATGCTAATTGTGAAGTTTTCCTTATAAAATGGAAAAATTCAGCGTCAATATATGTTTATAATTAGTTACGTAAATTTAGTCGAACGTATGTGTGCTTCAGTCATTGATACAGCTATGGATATCGTTGACTTACATGTAAGTACACGATTGATGCGGAGATGACGGAATACTGCGGCTGGAAATTAATGATTGCTTTTAGCGTCATGAATCTATACTAGGCTAGTTGGATTACGTGAAAACACATGTATGACTCGTATATGTATGTGAAGCGAAGCCTACTTGCACTGAGTACAGAAACAACATCTGATATGACGTCAATACAAAACACATGTACACCGCTTCTGACTGGACAACAGGCTAACCCATATCGTAAACATCCCTACTCGAGAACTTTTACATTCAATAAGTTTATTCTGAAAACCCGTGAGAACACCATTGATAAGCAAATATCCGTTGTACAACTGAAACTATACGTACATTAATCCAACTACGCGCATCGTATTGATTACCGATTGTACTAAATTCACAAATGTCGCGGTACACAAAAACCGACTCAAAACAGTTACCCGTTTGTACAATACTAGTATACAGAATCAATCCCGAAAAATGTCCCTGTGTGTTCATTTATGTCAACTAACTGCATTGACCAACTTGAACGTTTACAACTTATAAACGAAGTAGTCAAATTAATGACGGTCCTACAAGTTCATTGTAATCACGTACAAAGAAACACTATTGACTGGTCTTGACTTCGGAATAGTCTACAAAAATATGTATAGTGCGTGATTGTGTTATTCGCATAACAACGTTAACCAATTTAGGATCTACATATGTTTTTCTTTTGTATTTTCTTCATTTGATTACAGTATTCTGACTTATTGTGGATTATACGGTCACGGTGGTTTGATCGACATACCAGATTATACGTTTCAATTATTTCACATTTTGACAGATAAAAGATTTTAAACTATTAAAACAACGGCAAATGTTTCATGATTTTGGAAAGCTCAAAGTGTGTTAAAATTAGTCGGCTGGTTGAATATATAAAATAATTTAATCAAAAGGACGATGTCTTAATTAAGGGTTAATGGTAGAATGGTAGAATGATTTTGTTTTCCAATATTTGTGTTAATATTGATATTATACTTCAAACAATAAAATAGAATGTTGGAACAAAAACGATATTGTGCTTTTTATTTTTTACGGGGTCCATTACAGTTTCCACAACGAACACAAGTGTAGCCCAAGTTTCTACCCTATTTACGAGTGAATGGCGTAACTCGGTCATACAAAATTTTGTAGTTTGAACAACCCGTTTCGAAATTAATTCGGTAGTTTAATAGTAGTTAAATATTAATTTGATTACTAAATCGACATAAAGGAACTGTGATTTAGCTAATTTTGTAGGTAATAATAAACAAATTATATGCAATATTATTTTTAATGTCAAACAGTTCAATATTTCTGCCAGTATTTGCGTTCCACCATCGGGTCCAATGATATAGCCAGTTTAAGAATTTAAAAAGAATCCCAATCTTGGGCAGCACAGAACATAACAGTTATTGTGCACTTGGAGAATTTCAATCACCCGTGAAAGGATTCATTTGATGAATAGAAGAGAGATTATTCATATAACCACACATAAGCGTCATTGTCAACGAGCTAACAAGCGTCTTTGTGTGAAAGGACCAGCACCGTTGTTCCTTTATGCTGTTTGTTTGGAAAGACTGTTTGCATACGTGATTGAATACGACCGTTGGTGCAATAGCTTTGGCAGTAGCAACAGTGCTCGTCCCGTGTCAAAGTTCCGGGTATAGTGTTTCCGCTACTTTCCATGTGTTTGAGTCAATTGTATTGATGTGTACGTCTGAAAGTATTTCGTGTTGTTGTACAGCTTACACCGCCTTGGTTGCACGCACTTTGCGTTGATTCATTAAACTATTAGATCGAGAGACAGGTTGCCCATTGTTACTTCAATAAAGAGGATAAATAGCCTACAGACAACCATAAATTGGAAACCAACGCACCGTGTCAGCGATATTCGTGGTCTTTTCTCCGCCATGATGAACACAGGGTAGCGCTTTCCGGGAGCGTTGTATAAATCGACTCACTGACAGGCTGGGACAATGTCCATATCCAACTAATGGAAATAGTTTCTTGACTTTCCGGGTCGGTATTCCGTTCAATACAAATAACCGAAAATGTACGTAAATAAGTTCAGATGAACAAGACTCGCCGACTAGATCACGTTTCAATGGAAATGGCAGCATTATACATTCAAGACGTTTATTTTGTTTCTCAAAATATATTCTTCCATATGTCTTTTATTATTCTTTGGTTGTCTATTTATTATTTTTTTAGATTTCTACGCTGAAATGAATTAATTTTCGTTTGTCTTACTTCTTAATGTAACAATGTATGTTAAAGAAGATCAAAGCTGAAAAAAAAAGAATATTTTTTTTTCATGATCACTCACTAATACTGGAAGTGGCTTTAGATAAAAAAAAGACAAACAGGCTTTGTGGCAGACTAGTACCAGACTGTTGCATATGCTTTCCTGTATATAAATAACATAGTATAGCGTCTGTGTTGCAAATAATGTCAAGTGACTTTAACGAAAATTTGTTTGGTTTCAGCATGGAAGGTACTAACGGATTTCTTCCATGGTTTCAGTTTTAATGTATTATGAAAGCAGTAATTTCCACTCACTGCTAAAGCGTTCCAGTCAGAATCAACTCATTAATAATAGATATAGATGTCGAAAATAACATTGGTTTTGCTGTATTTGAATTTTCACACAAATATATGGTACCTTTGTATACATTGAAATACTGCCTCTGATCTAAAACTTGCCTCCAAATCCAGCATGCCAGACTTCCGAGTCCATGAGCAACCGGTTACAGAGTTTAAATAGTACTTTCATATTAATAATAACTTTAATAAAACACTGAAAACAACTGCGGGTAAATTACAAAAACAGAGCACAAGAACGAATATTGAGTTTATAACGCATAACAATGCTCGAAACCTTGATTTGTACCATGCCCATACGCCGTACATACACTGGCGTTGGATGCGAAAGTAGATACTTTTCATTTTCCGTCATTCATATGCAAATTAGCGCGACCTGCTCATTATGAAAAAGGTCAGCGTGAGCTGTGAATATCGTGTGTGTGGATGTAATACATACCCCGTTGGATCTTTTGTCGCTGTCCTTGTTGTGGCTTTCAGGTTGAAATCGTTACACTTTCATGATGTTTGTTTATAGAAAATTAATGGCCAGGCGGCGACAGGACACCAACGCTGCCGAAAACGGTACTGAACCAGTGAACGACAACAAGGAGGCTGAAGAATCCAAGGTAATATACGATGTATTTCGACTTGTCTCGCCGAATTTAAATGTTCGCCGCGTCGCCATTTTGCTTTTTGTGTTTTCGTTATTTTCGTATAGGTGGCATATCTGTCGGAATATGTTCAGCGAAAGTGTTCTGTACAATTTAATTTAATGTCTGCATCAACGTATATTTGATTTCCAGTGATATGCAGCTGAACGTAAAAACCCCACCCTAAAACGCTGCATCCAACGGAAGCATTTTCCTATGCATTTTAAACACTGCAAATTACCAGTACTAGTAATTGTGCTATCAATCTCACGGTAATAATATCGTGATGCATATTGTCTTAAAATTCCACGTCAGTTTTCTAGTGATGGATGTGTCCTGATAGATCATGATGGAGTCCGAGGCAAGTTGAAAAACAAGCAAGCATGTTTCCACGCACAGTAGTTTCACGTTGACAGATTATAAATGCAACGCCTTGTTTGTCGAAGCGTACGTGTTTAAATACTCACGACAGAGGCTGGAGCGAACCAATGTCTAAAATCAGTGATGTATTCAACAAAAATCCCGGGACAGATTAAACAAAACCGATGGCCAAAAAAGAAATGTTCACATCTCGTCCGTCCGCGCCGCGATCTAGGTCAAGATCGGTAGATGATTCGGAAAACGTAGCCATTTTGGAAATTTAATAAGTGTTGGATGAATAAATCGGGATATAAATTGGCGGGAAAACATCAATGGACAACGCCGATATTGAATAAGACACGGTCGCACTTTAAATTGCAAATAAGGCATATAACAGTTAGCATTCCAAGTCTGGCATCGTTCAAATTACACTGTGTATTGCTGCATACCCCAGAGTTCACACGCTGTTTACGCACATTATCGCCGTATTTAATGTTAATATAATTCAATCGCTTAAATTAAAAATATGCAAGTTGGAAAATATACAAATCCGTCACGGTACGTGGTTGATACGATATCCTCAAATCTAAAAACAAACACCGAAATTGAAATAACGGTTTCATAATACTTAACGGTAAACTATTACGTGAGCTGATCTTTTTATATATTTCAATTTCAATTTCAAGGTTTGTATGATTGTTGTCAGTAAATTATCCCATAATGTCACTGCATTGTGGGATCAGGTATATATTTAGCATTACTGTACCTGTTTACGATTCAATGAAAATTATTATTAATATGTCGCAATGTGTTTTTTTTCGCATGTACTAGTATACAAAATGCTCCACGGCGAGACCGCGCCTTTCAGAGGTGACATGTATTCAATAGAAGGGACCAATTACGTGTGATGTAATACTAGTATATCTCACTGACACGGTAACCATAACAACACTTTAACGTATCTTTGATACCACATAGGAAAAGTGATATCGGAACTTAACTCTTAAAGTATGCTGCGTTTAACGCAAGTCGGCGGGATATGTTCCTGTAATTCGCGTTGACGTAATATTATGTTTCTGGTCTGTTGTATAACTCGTTACATTTCTACTGGTGTCGTACGTCTCCGCATCACGTCGTCCTATATAATGTTATGCATGAATGAACTCTGAAATCCCGCTTCTCAATATAAACAGAGCATATTTGTTTAATTTATACCAGGGGGTCTGCAATGCTAAGAACATGAACCCTACGCCATGCAGCTTCTGAGGTCAACTGCCAACTATGTATCCACGTAATTGGATTCACATAGCATGACATTGTCTGTAAGCCGGTTGTATGCCTTTCAAGTTGGCGTCTGTGTTAGTCGCCAGTTTACGTTCGACACACTTTTAAATGCGCACCCTGTACTAGTAATAATTCATATTTCAGATTATACATATATCCAATTTCGCGATAACAATTTTATATTTCAATTGATAACGGATTTTATTAAATGAAGCCACTAGTAACCGTGATGAAGCACCATCTGACGTTTTCCTGGAAGACAAAATAGACAATGATTCGATAATCTATTTATTCATAATTCAAATAATGCCTCGAATCGTGACGGGTATCCGGATTCATCCTTACGGACAGGAAAGCCAGCGACCAGTGGTAAATACAACAATGCCGTATTACTGAAACGGACAAATGAAATATTGTGTCTCTTAGTGACGTCATGTACATGTGTTAAATCTAAGCGTAGTATAGTTAACGAGGCAGCGCTCACTGCAATTATGTGAACGATTTATATATGTTAACAGATGCTCTTTCCATAATTCGTACGCCGCTACTTGACCACACAGCTTATCAGCTGAGTTTGCGATAAAATATGCAGATGATTTTATGCTGTTTTCTCTATTCAATATTTAAAGCCCAGGAGTCGTCACCTGCGCATGCGGCAGACGGTCATAGCCTGTCGTTGTTTACATACAAGCGTCTACCCACAAGCCTCTGCGTTTTAACGTGCGTTGTTATCGTCGCCTGGGACTCAATTCCCGCGCATGCGCAAATGACGATCCCTCCACTTCAACGGACACGTATTGTTTTGAAAATTAAGAAAATGTTGAAATGATGTGCGTGACCGAGCCGAAGATGACGATAATTCAACGCCAAGTTCAATTAATAATTGAGTTGTCTGGTTCTAATTAACTTCTTTACATTTTTAGGTACAGTCTCCGAAGAAAGTCAAAAAACAAAAAGCAAAACCTGTGAAAGTATGTGACAAAAACGCAGAGAAAGCGCAGGTAGAAGAAAAAGGTCAGCACACCCAGGTGGAGACGTACATCAGCCGAATAAAATACAACGATACTCGCTTCAATAACGAGCCGGATTTCAGTCTTCATACCGAGGACATCGAATTCAGGATCCATTCCTCGCTGCTGAAAGAGAAGAGTGAATACATACAGAAAGCGCTATCAGCTGAGGCAAAGTGCATTGATAGCGTCGGTAAGGGGCATGGTATCGAGTTCGTGAAGCCACCGCCCACGGCGCGAGCTCTCCGCATATTAATGGACTACGTTTACACGGAGAAAATGATTGTAGCGGATGACGAGAAACAGGAAGTTTATATCGCAGCGAGGGTCCTTGGCATTCAAGTCGATGAGGAAAAACTAATAGGATGGAATAACCCCAAATAAACAGACAGTTTTCATTTTTTGCAATTGATATCTTGGGATAATAGTTATTAGCTCGCAATGTATTGGGGAAAATATGCGCGGCTTTTGTACTTCATAATTTGTTGGTGTACTTAATCGTCATCGTTGGTTGTTCACTCAGACGGGACAGTTTTTTTTTATAACCAAATATTTGCGTCCAGAAAGCCCATTTGTACAAATACATCAACCTAAGCGAGCACACTGATTTACTCAGTGTGATTTCAGTGTTGTCCAATGAAACATGGCCGCTATTGACACTGCCATTTTGATTAGAACACAACATGTTTGATTACAGCCTCTAATCAGAACTCTTATATCCAACTTATAATTCATATTTTGCATTGGTTTATAAGGTTTCTGAACGTACATGGCTTTTTTTTTTGGGGGGGGGGGCAAGCAGCGTCGGTTGTGAGGAGGTGATTTTGGGGCGTTTTGTATATAAGGTATAGATATTAATTACATGTATATTGTCACTGTCGTCATCATCACCACCATCGTCGTACACAAATGGTATTATCGTTATGTTGTTGTTATAGTTACCAATAGATACAATCTGTAAATGGTCGGTTATCATATGGCGTACAATGCTCACATGATGTGAATCAATCCTAGAATACTAGTAATATGTGTGCCAAAACTTAAATTACCAGCATTTAGATTAAATCCTCAAATCCTTGTTTCGGATATTTTGTGTACATGTTTATTTCATTTATACATTTAAGTTAGCAAGTGTAGCATATGATTGGTTTTACGAGTCGGAAATTTAGTTGATATGCTTCTCATTTGACCGTGTATCATTGTTTTGTTCCAATGTAGTGTTCATTCCTGCCAACTATGCCCAGTGTTCAAATTTTAAATTACTGTTAGAAAATTAACCGACAAAAGGCAATCAATACACTTATTGTTGAACTTTGAACTTTGACCTGAAGCTCATCCGATTATTATCGCGGATCTTTGATATCCCGTCCGTGTCACGTGCTCAGTTTGTTGTATTTATTAAATGTTTAAAATGTATCCACCATTATCTATCTATATCTGATATTTGTACGAATTCAGCACATCATTTGTCAATTACGTGACGTCAGGTATCATTATGCATATCTATTTATATAAACAGGTATTCCATGTTTGTCCTGGAATTTTTCTGTCTGTTGTCATGCCAAAACTTTTACAAGTTCTTTCACGAAGAAATCGCAAATTAAATCGATCTGCCATTTTAATTTTTAATTTACTTCAATATGGTATTGTAGTAATGTTGTTATATTTATTCAGAATAATGTATACATACAATATAACTGACGTCATCTTTACTTAACTGACGTAATATTTTCAGTTTAGGCTCAGAATATAAAAATGAGCCAAAACTAACCCAAGTTTAGTATTGTTATTTATTATTAGTGTGTTCGTACATTGTTTGTATATATTATTAACCAGGGCTTCCTTTTCTGAGTCTTTTTAATCTGCACAATGGGAATGCTTCTGTTTAAAGATAATTTCAAGCTAGCTATTTTTCAGTTTGATTATATGAGCTTGTATGGTCTTGTACGGGTTTTTTATATTTACTAGTTAAATTCACACCAATATCGGTTTCGAATCCATATCCCACAATTCGCGTTGGCACATTTACCTTACTCTAGTCTAGTATGCAGCAGTTTCCATTACAAAATTGAATGTATTCGATTCCTTCGTAAAACGATCAAATATTATGGTGCCTCCGTCGTTGCGTGTTCAAGTTCAACGTCAAATAAACTTTTTGTCTCTAATTACAACTGACTTTGACGTCTTAATTTCGATCGAGTAATCTTTGATTGTGTAATTTAGAATAACTACGTTAAATATTATGTTTTAAGTAAGCATGTTTCACAAATGTTTCCCCTCCCACATTATCGCACAATATGTACATCCATAACGCCCATAATATGATTTTAATCGACACAACAACTCGTTGTTACCAAGGTTACGCCCTTTTTCATTGAATGCATTGATACGACAATGATTCACCTCATCTATTGATATACAATATTACATGAAAATTAATTATTTCATACTGTAAAAAATATAAAGATTCTGATCTATTTGACCTTTGCCCCTATAGACTTGTGCCGTAAAATTGTTGAGAAACACGCACACAACTAGCGTGCCATGTGTTTTGTTAGCGCCAGGTTATCGGAGCCATATGTTTGTGCGTCACCAGGATATCGCGTGTCATATGTTTGAATATTGGCAGGATATTGCGTGCCATATGTTTGTGTATCGGCAGGATATATAGCGTGCTATATATTTGTGGATCGGCAGGATATCGCATGCCATATGTTTGTGTATCGGCAGGATATCGCACGACGTATGTTTTTGTATAGGCAGGATATCGCGTGCCTTATGTTTGTGTATAGGCAGGATATCGCGTGTCATATGTGTGTGTATAGGCAGGATATCGCGTGTCATATGTTTGAGTATCGGCAGGATATCGCGTGCCTTATGTTTGTGTATCGGCAGGATATCGCACGACGTATGTTTGTGTATCGGCAGGATATCGCACGACGTATGTTTTTTGTATAAGCAGGATATCGCGTGCCATATGTTTGTGTATCGGCAGGATATCGCGTGTCATATGTTTGTGTATCGGCAGGATATCGCGTGTCATATGTTTATGTATCGGCAGGATATCGCGTGCCATATGTTTATGTATCGGCAGGATATCGCATGCCATATGTTTGTGTATTGGCAGGATATCGCGTGTTATATGTTTGTGTATAGGCAGGATATCGCGTACATTATGTTTGTGTATCGACAGGATATCGCGTGCCATATGTTTGTGTATCGGCAGGATATCGCGTGCCATATGTTTGTGTATAGGCAGGATATCACGTGCCTTATGTTTGTGTATCGGCATTATATCGCGTGCCCTATGTTTGTGTATCGGCAGGATATCGCATGCCATATGTTTGTGTATCGGCAGGATATCGCATGTCATATGTTTGTGTATCGGCAGGATATCGCATGCCATATGTTTGTGTATAGGCAGGATATCGCATGCCATATGTTTGTGTATCGGCAGGATATCGCTTGCCATATGTTTGTGTATTGGCAGGATATCGCGTGTCATATGTTTGTGTATAGGCAGGATATCGCGTACCTTATGTTTGTGTAACGGCAGGATATCGTGTGCCATATGTTTGTGTATCGGCAGGATATCGTGTGCCATATGTTTGTGTATGGGCAGGATATCGCGTGTCATATGTCTGTGTATAGGCAGGATATCGCGTGCCATATGTTTGTGTATCGGCAGGATATCGCGTGCCTTATGTTTGTGTATTGGCAGGATATCGCGTGTCATATGTTTGTGTATAGGCAGGATATCGCGTATCTTATGTTTGTGTATCGGCAGGATATTGCGTGCCATATGTTTGTGTATCGGCAGGATATCGCGTGCCATATGTTTGTGTATAGGCAGGATATCACGTGCCTTATGTTTGTGTATCGGCATTATATCGCGTTCCATATGTTTGTGTATCGGCAGGATATCGCGTGCCTTATGTTTGTGTATCGGCAGGATATCACGTGCCTTATGTTTGTGTATCGGCAAGATATCAAGTGCCATATGTTTGTGTATCGGCAGGATATCGCGTGCCATATGTTTATGTATCGGCAGGATATCGCGTGCCAAATGTTTAGGTAATGACAGAAAATCACGTGACATATATTTAGCTGTCGCCAGACTGTCATGTGCCATAAATTTTCGATATAACCGGAAAATCGCGTGCCATATTTTTAGCTATATTCTTAAATTTCGTCGAGATATTATGTGACACATGTTTTAGATGTCATATGTTTACCGTAAATCCCTAAAACACAGCATTGTATTCTGTTGAAATAATACAGGGGAATGTGTCGTGCAAATCATTCTAGTTGTAGAAATTTAAAGTAGTGAAACACCATCAAGTATTTTTTGGAAATTTGGAGTACTATTCTCATCATAAAAAACATTAAAATCATTGAAAGAAACTAGGTACTTGGAAACGTTGCCTAGCAACGTGGCAATTGTGACAGCATCACCGCTTGATTATTGTACAACAAAGATTGACTTGGTATCTCGTTGTAATACATAATGCGTGCATTTTTTGTCACGTGACTTCCATTGCTAGTAATGATTTTTTTTTTATATCCTGGGTGTTATCAGTAACATAGCAACGCTGGAATGCATGCTGTCACAACCATGTAACATGGTTGATGTCATTGAACATCGATAACACTACGGTACAGACTTTCCGTTTTCGACATTGTGAAGTCTTTTTGTTTTTTGAAAAAAAACCCCGAAAACAACTGATTTTGACAAGAAATATACTACGAATATTCCATAACGAAATATACAATGAAGGGAATATTAAATACAAAGCATAATTGGTAAAGTTCTCGATATGTTTACATTTCATTTATCTTATTATGAACAGTGACTTTAATAAATATGATTGTAGTGTTCGATTTTATCACCAAAATTAATTTCAAAACTTTGTATAACGCTTCTCACTAACTTGGATAACACAGTAGAAACCGGGAAACAAAATTGTTTGAGTACACGGGTTCAATTTATTATTCACAATACGATAACATTCGAAATCAGAGGTATGTTACTTTCTTTAAAATTTACAAAAAGGTAGTGGTTTGATATCACGTACAATATGTTTGGGTAGCGCCAGTATATCGCGTACCATATATTTCGAGGTATCGCCATGATATCGGGTGACATGTTCTATACATCGGCAGGATATCACGAGCTATATATTTGGGTATCGTCATGATATCGCGAGACATATGTTTGCGTATCACCACGATATCGCGTGATATATGTTTCGAGGTATCGACATGATATTGGGTGAAATGTTTATGTATCGGCAGGATATCACGAGATATATATTTGGGTGTCGTCATGATATCGCGAGCCATATGTTTGCGTATCACCAGGATATCGTGTGATATATGTTTCGAGGTATAGTAATGATGTCGGATGACATGTTTATGTATCGACAGGATATCACGAGCTATATATTTGGTAATCGCCATGATATCGCGAGCCATATGTTTGCGTATCACCAGGATATCGCGTGATATATGTTTCGAGGTATCGCCATGATATCGGGTAACATGTTTATGTTTCATCAGGATATCGCGAACTATATGTTTGGGCATCGTCATGATATCACGAGCCATATGTTTGCGTATCACCAGGATATCGCGTGATATATGTTTCGAGGTATCGCCATGATATCGGGTAACATGTTTATGTTTCATCAGGATATCGCGAAATATATGTTTGGGCATCGTCATGATATCGCGAGCCATATGTTTGCGTATCACCAGGATAACACGTAACATATGTTTGCGTATCACCAGGATATCGGGTGACATGTTTATGTATCGGCAGGATATCACGAGCTATATATTTGGATACCGCCTTGATATCGCGTAACATATGATTGCTTATCACCAGGATAACGCGTAACTTATGTTTGCGTATCACCAGGATATCGGGTGACATGTTTATGTATCCGCAGGTTATCACGAGCTATATATTTGTATATCGCCTTGATATCGCGTAACATATAATTGCGTATCCCCAGGATATCGGATGACATGTTTATGTATCGGCAGGATATCACGAGCTATATATTTGTATATCGCCCTGATATCGTGAGCCATATGTTTGAGTATCGCGGGGATAACGCATGATGTTTGTTTAGATATTACAAGGATATGATATGCAATTTATTTGAGGGTATCGCCATGATAATGCATGTTATATGTTTAGGTGTCACCATGATATCAGTGCCATATGTTTGAGGGTATCGCGTGCTATATGTTTAGGTGTCATCGGGAAATTAGATGCCACTTTTTTAAGCATCAAGCAGTTTTCTGAAATAGAGGATTTGTTATAATCCCTTATTTCGAGTACTATTCTCATCAACAAAAACCTATTATGATCATTGAAAACTTTACCCAGCAACTTGGTAACTGAGGTGGTAGCACTGTTTGATTTTAAGATAACGAAGAATTACCGTAATTTACCGTAAATTAGTGCATATTTTTAACGGAGCTAATCCTGACATGATCGGGTTGCCACCACGACATGCGCCCTCTATGTTCATTTATTTTTTTTACTATTAAGTAGTAAAATATAGTTTTAATATTTACCTCTTATGCTAGTAGGTAAAGTAAGTTGAATTTGACACATGTACGTAAATACACGCAACTCGCGCTAAATGCTAATAGTTTGTGGTGCATTTGTTGTGTTCAGCCTAGAAGAAATTACTCACTCAGTGACAGTTTATATTTTTGTGAAATTATTTAAAGCTGGGCGGTGACCGTTGCTATGGCGAGCATTCGATATGAGTCACATATTCTCGGGGGAGGTTTTGGGTTTGATTGCTCTAGAAATGACGTTGAGGGCGCTTTAATTACAAAATGGACAAAAATGAAAATCATAACAGCGGCTCGTACCATATTACATCAACAATGGGAGTACAGCATGCAACAAAACTGATAGAGCGTTATATTATACCTCGGCAATTCAAGTGATGCAATGATTGCCAAGAAAAAAAATGTTTCATTTGCGTACTTTTGCAGTCAATACTATGAATGATGCAGTGCAAATGTGATAATATACATACCGAAATACATACGTATGTCATGGTGTAATGTATTTGTACCTCTGTACTTTATATCAGTACTACATATGAGAATGATGAAGCTAATGGGATACTGTAAGTACTGAGCAGGCATGGCCGCGTTTAAGAAAATATTTAAGAAAGTATCATTATTTTATATGTCTCAGACCATTATATGCAGACGTAAAATGAAAACAAAACAATTCCAAAATCAAGTCTACTTTAGTAAAGTATCGATACTAGAAAACAGAGGTCTGAGAGGTTTTCGGGTTAGATAAACTTAAACAGAAACGCCAGTTTCGTTGTTAGCGATTGAAGTGAGCCCTCACACGTCGTGTTTTCAAATGGGGAATAATGGAAGCGGTTTATTGGTTAAAATGAGCCATATGACAATATTACGCTCGCTGATAAGCGAGTTGGTCTGACATCTCTCCTCACGCGATGTTATCTTGGTGAAAATACAAAGTTCAGTCACCAGACTCAGCCAAGTAAGTACGAGTCGAGTCAAGCCTCAAGCGGTCAGAAAAAGCTAGAAAACACACAAAAAAACCAGTTTTCAAATATATGAACAAATTTTAATCCCATATGCTTAACAGAACTCATAGCGCCCTCTGAGTTTGTGTGCATATTGACCCAGTAACTAATAATGTTTCGCTATTTACAGTTAATATCTGTACAAACGCTATTGCTCGCCCAAGAGCACAACCATTCCCGCTACATTCCCATGATGCACTGCATTGTCTTAAGAACGCTCCGCATGAAATGGATTTCCCATGCATGCAGTTTATTGTGGCGTTTTCACCAACTCAAAAAGTTCAACGCCTATCTTTAAAAGACATTATTCAGATTCTACCCATGTACAATAAATAGAATAATGACCCTGTGGTCCTAATAAGATAATTACAGTATATTTATAGAATAAATAGTAAATTTTCAATAGATACCTAAAGTCAGATACAAACTGACACAGCATATATTAATTTAAAAATGCCTCGTACTATTTTTAAACATAGCAAGACATGTGAGATCATCTCTCCACCTTTCTTTTGTCCCCTAAAACCCATTGCAATACTTGGTCCAGTGTATCTAATATTTTGTTTTGTTTCGAGAATGGCATGTTGGCTTTATTCGTTCGTAGTTTTGCTCGGGTGTCGTAAAAAAAACGATGGCGTAGAAAAACTGCATGCAAGTTGCCGAATTGTTACTCAGGCTGAACACAACTGAGCGAGAGCTTTCTAATTCCAGAATAAACACAGGATATTGAAAAAACCTAAGACGATTTATAATGCTAAATGTTCTTCCTTCACTGAGCTTTAAATATTAGACACAAAAATGGTGCTGACAGTTTTAGGGCTAGTTAAGTGACTGTCCCGCAGCGTGTATTTCAACCACAGCGCTATCTGTACCAACCCACACACAAATGGAATAAGCCACACTATTTGAAACATGACGTAATGTAGCTGACCAATTATATCCGGGTCAGTTGTTTCTCCAGAGCGGATGTCTTGGAAACCATTTTTATTCAAGATGGCGACGATAAGGATAGGTGCGATGGATTGGGCCGGTTTGATAATCACGGCATTAGCGGCGAAGAACATAGATGACAGTGGGTTTCTGGAAATAATAAACAAACTTGTAATTAGAATACAATTATTCCCGATTAAACAAACAGTGGTAAACCATAGTCAAACAATTAAATGAAAAATAATCGATCTTCTTGGACGGACTGCGAAATACTAATATAACTTGTCTATTTCAGGTCCATTTCAGTTTCTAACTTTGAATGGGTTAAACCATGTACAGTTGATACAGTGGAGTCGGTAATACGCAGCTGTAACGCGATATTCACTATGCATTCACAGGGTCGAATTGAAATATATCCCATGACGTCGTAGGTTTTAGAAAGCTCTAGGAACAAACTTGAATGATATTAAGGAATAGCCTTGGATATCACAACCAAACTGTGAATGAGCACGCCAGCCAGTCGATAAACACCGTGGTCATGTAAGTAACGTGGTTCCTCATGAAGTAAAAAGACAACAACTATGTGTTTCATGTTTCATATAATATTGCCGAGTGAATTATTGATGAAAATCGTCAGGTCATGCAGAGTTATGAATAAATTTATCCCCTTACACTCGTTTGTTTTTCTCCATGTCAGCATCTATATTATCCGCTAATAGCAGATTAAATAACTTAGAAGCCGCCATTGGTAGTGAACTGCAATGTAAAAATATCAGTACAACATGTTAAGAGTTCTAGAAGAAAAAAACTCAAATAGACAATCACATAAAATACATACAAGAACTTCAATTTATTCGCATAAGTTTTGTCTGAAATTATTAATCGAAACTAAAATTTAAACTACAAAATAAAAAAGCAACGTATTTGTTTTGGTTTACTACACCATCTGTTTACGCCGATGACATAATTAAGGAAATCTTTTTCTCGTAACATTACGTCATGGAACGTAATCCGTAAATATTTTTGTGAAAAGAAGAACAATTCCGTGATTATAACAACTTACGTATCTATGACGAAAAACATGACCAGAAACAAGGGATGGGCTGACGACATATACAGCAATATAGCAGTGAACACCTTGACACAGAACAGCATTAAATACACTCGATAACCACCGACCCTTTCGACAAAGGATGTTGTTAGAATCACAAATATCTAGAAAAAGAACATACCGAAGTGCTGTTAATATAAATTTCATGAAAAGATAAGTTTTGAAGACGTTTTATGACGATATTCATGCTTGATCAGCATTTATCGTAAATTGGCAATGTTAGTTTGATCGAGTTACTCAAGGATAATGTGTAATCATTAATCAGTGCGTACCAAAAATTACAAACGCATGCGCATTTGCATTTAATCTATGTTACCAAGCGACCAAAAAAACATAAATATTTGACTAGTACATATTCTATTAAAGTATGTATATCAATATATTACTAAACGTCCCATATTTCATCTGTATGCAAACGAGGGCGCTGTACTGTTGATACCAGCTGTGCACGGCTAGGTGTATAATAGTGTAAAACTTAACAATAAAATGTCATGCATAGCACGCACATGCTGTCAGCTGAGTGTGAAATATTACATAAAGTTAAATAATGCGACACCACTTATGGAAAATAAAACAAACCCATAAAACGATGTTAATACGTCTGGGCCAGGGACATTGAATACGGAGTCCTACATTCAGGAATATAAATACTTTGAACTGAAGCAGGCCAATGAGTCGAGTACCCAGAATTATAATGACATTAAAACAGTGTGCTGTCTATTTTCAAGAATCAACTATTAAACAGTTTGCCATAGATGATGAACATCACAAAAATGAAACTGATTTAAGCACGCTGGTTTTTGCAACAAATTATTTTCAAAACAGAGTAGATCGCAACATATTATTATGATGTGATGTCTACATTTTATAAACCACACGTGCTCTAGAATCGCTCACATAGGCCTGGACGAAGTAGATAGGCTTCCTGGTAAAATTTACTCTCTATTCTTCGTATACAATACAAACGACACGGTGACCGCCATCTAAGGTACATTATCATCGAACTTTTATCTAGGTTAGTTTGACCTTAGTATAAATATTGAAAAAAAATGTACTACATATATAATCGGAAATAATAGAAAATTATCTTCTTTGTTGACATGAGCCAAAAAAAATATACTGTTGTTAAATATATATATTATATAAAATATATTATTTTGAAACGCCATTTCAACCGTGTTTTTTTTTTCTAACACAATTCAATTGAAAATTTTCATAAATAATTAATGAGCTGCGTAGTGCGAAAATTGAAAATGGATCCAGCAGGTTGATCGTGTCACGGTCATGGTTCCCAATGTGGAATATGATTTATTCAGTTGGCACATATTTACGGATATCACTTACACTGTTAAATACAAAAGTTATTGCAGACAAAAGTCGCTTTCAAAGACTTGTATAGACGAGACAGCAAGAAGTTGACATGCCAATATTTCTGAGGTGGTGCTAAAGCTTAAAGTTTTCTGCCAGATTATACTGTTTTGTTGCAGTATTCTTATATTTTTTCAGTTATGGTTCTCTTCTGAACTTTTTTTTTTTTTATTCTAGCGTTTCATTCACTTCATCATAAACAGATAATGGTTTCTACGCAAACTATTTATTCTGATTTCTTCCGTGAAGACAGAGCAGTTCACGCGGTCACTAAATTTACTCAAAGCTTAGCTCCAACGTTTAGCACAGATGCTACGATATCTGTAACGCCTGATTGATTACATTACAGTCGGATGTTAATGAAATATTGTTAATGTAAAAAATTACAATATGCCTAATCAGACCATGTGTTACATGTTGTTTGGATACCAGTCTATACAAATAAAAACAAGGATTTAGTGAGATGTATATGTATATGTTAGCTGTCCTGACGCCAGCATCCCATATAATGTACGTGTTCAGTGGTTAGTATGGACGGGATTTGAGCAACTGCTTTGCAAAATCAAAGAATGGCGTTACGACAAAGGAAACATCACAGCTGAGTGCTTTTTATCAGTAACAGAATAAATACAAACAAGCACAAAAATTAAAGGTAAACAGCCAAGCTGAAAGACTTGATTAATTGAGGGAGCATTTTTTGAATAGTCTTTGTGCACAAAGACAAAATGAAAAAGGTCGTAATGACTTATGGAATATCAGAAGAAACAGTTTCTGCCATTAAGGCTTTACCATAATACCAAATCCGTAATCAGATCCCCCAGATAGTGATACTTAATAGTTTGACATATATACATGCTGGATTTCCAACAAGGGGACACCTTTTCTCTTTGTCATTACCCTGGACTATTTACTTCGCTCAACTCTCGATAACATTCATGACATGGGATTTATTCATACAACTGTAAAGTTCACGGATTCAGATTTTGCATATGATCGAGCCATACCAACCCCTACATAGTCTTGTGAACACATGACGTCAATTTTGTCGTGAATTATACGATAAGACAGAATGTATCACACCTAATACTTTTATAAACCTTTGCGAGCGTAAAAAGACAACCACTAAACAAGATGATGATTTCTAGAAATCAGATCTACTAGATGATCTAAAGCACAGCTCCTTTTTTCAAATTCGTACCATGTATGGTGGTATTGAATGGACTAAATCCATAGAGTCGAATCTTGTTGGTACTATCACGGGGAAAATCTTCTCTGAGGGGTTCTCCACACGTGTCAGGGGGGAATCTCGTCTCGTCTCTCTCTCGCGTCCCCTTGAGGTACGGGATCGAGAAAGTCTCTTAGCTTTACAGTCAAATAAGACACACACAGCGAAATACGTTTCAACTTTCGTCTTAGTCGATCAGTCGAGCACTCTATAAGACACAGCGCCCTGGGGAAAAGTCCCCAAGACTATCGCAAGGCTTACCCAAGACTCGCCCAAGACTCTCCAGGACTGGACTCTCGACTGCGTCTATCGTGGTGTACTCGCCAAGACCAACTCAAACTCTCTTTATTCATTTTCAAAACATTAACCAATTACAAAGCAGTAAAAAGACTCTAGGGCGTAACCTTCAATCATAAAGCCAATCACACTAAGTACTGAATACGTCATATCTTTTGATTAATCGTTCACTACATTAATAACTACGAATACTAACTGTCAGAAATAGTAGTCCGAATAGCGACGGTTATCTCGTAATTAGTTCCAAATCACTGAGCCAAGTTCCGTCCAAAACTTCACATGGCCTAAACGATGCCAGACATAACACAGCCATTCAGCTAATTAAGTCGATTAACAGATACGCAAAAACAATTTCATCACAGTACTTACACTCGCTCTCAACATTTCAAGAGAAAGCACCTTTAGAAAGGAACAATCATATGGTGATCTGCCAGCCATCTCACGTATCCTCTGTCAAATGTGCATGCATGTACTGGTAACTGTCTGCGTGCGAAATAAGAGCTAAATAGCGATATTTTGCTCAGAATGCCCAGACTGCCGCATTCATCGACACATACTAGTATATTAGCCAGCTACGCTTAGTCACCAGATGCATTCCAGAAGGACTGCGATGGATGTCGTTCCCAAATCATGGATTTCCGAGCTAGCTTGACCTGATGATGATTTACATCGTTTCAGACATGTTTAATAATGAACAATTGCGTTTAAATCCCCATTCTAGTTTTATAATATGCCTAGATCTAATGTGGTCACGATAATGACTAGTATACAGTCAACGTCCCTGTCGAAAACAACAAGACAAAAACGGCTATGGCGACGGAAGTTATATACATGTACATTCTAGTTACAATTCTTACCTGAGGTAATATGAAGACGGATCCATACAGCGCTTTGCGCAACATATTCGGTAAAAGATACGACGGTATGAGCTCATCGGCAAATATACTTAGGAAATTTCTACCAAACGTCATATGAAATTCCGCGAAGAAATTAACAAATAGTAAAATAACCAGGTTCCATTGCGAGAATATCTGTTTATACAATGTCCATATAGATGTCCGTTCATTGTCCAATAGGAGATCACGGTCCCAGATTCGTTCCCCGTCTGCAGGGGACTCGTACTCACTTTTTAGTGATTTCACCGCTATATGCATAGCCAGCCAGCTGGTTATTGCAACCATGATACAGAACCCTTGAAATCGTCTGATATTAGTGAAATTATTTGAGATCATCTCAGCCCATAGCACGGCACTGGATCCGAACAGCGAAGCAAACTGGCTGTACTTAGTAAGCCGCAATCTTTCTTCATGACGAAAAGATATTTCAGCATAGAGGGCGCTATGCGCAAGCAATACAAACGTCAGCAGGGTATCGTATAAACACAGCGAGACAACCAAATGCAAACCAGCTAACCATTCATTGTGTTCATAGTCCCCCCATGGAAACCACGGTAGTATAAAACTAATAGCTAAAAGCGGCGCTCCGTACAAAATAGTAAGTCTTCTGCGGTGAAAAATCGCGACGGCGGAGGTGTCTTGAATATATGCAAATAACGGGTCATTAAGTGAGCTCCAAAACAAATATATACCTTCGGCTAAAGTAAACCACCGTTGTGATATTTTGTAGGTGTTGAGAAATAAATTAACATAATAGAATGTGAAGAGTGAGTTCAGCATAGACAATGCAAACTGGATGAGTGCAAATGAAAACGCGTTGTAGTGGACTTTCATTTTCGATACTTCGCGTATAACCTCTACACCTCGGCGACTTCCGTCACGTAGCCGCCTTCGCATATACCCCAATACCTACGTGGAAAATATATACAAACTGATCAATAAGTCAGCGTAAAATCGAATAAAATTGATCATCAAATAACAAAGCGAAAATCGCTCGTTAGAAATCAAAGCAACTACTGTGACAGCTGAGAGTATACTCTTTTGCGGCATAACAATATAAGTGAACGCATATGCCAGTTTGCGACACACACAGATATGGCCTGACTTTCTAATCAAAATATGAATTCGAAAACATTCGAATCATTACTGTCACAACGATGGCGATTTCTATTTTTAGAACAATTCATCGTCGATAAAACCGGCTTCCATTATAGCACAATGTGTAATGGTTTTCGCAATTTTCAGATTGTATGTTTGAAATTTCAAAATACAGTATTCTACTTTACATCTCGATTGACATTGCTATGATATGTCTATCGGAGCGAATGGAATTCGAATTATTTTACTAATGTCATAGAAATAGGGAACACGACACATGTATATAGAGTCGGGAATAAATGGAAAATTAGCTCGGCATCCACAGATAAATTACTGTTGCACATAAATTCGTCCCAAATTAATTTGAAATATGTAAGAGTACTAGTGTTTCACTGAATCAGTTCTAACCCAATCATGGCTTAGGTCAGTATGACTGCGCACACCGCGCGCTTACCTAAATATATCGATGAAGTTCCCTTTTTATGCGCTTGGTATTTGGAACATCTCAACTTGTCTTCGTGTGGCTGTATTTTCAAATAGCGTTCATTAACGTGACAAACCTGTGTCATGAGACGTGGCACGGCGAATATACTAACGGAGTACAGTATAGGTTAATCCCGCAAACACTGATATGCAAATGAGCAATATGCGATCCCCCTCGGTCACAGCTGCGGTGCGCACGGACTGGAACATAGATCATGTGATGAGCGTCCACGGATTGTGAAACAACTACACGTACAGTCAACGCAACTGTTACCCACTGTGATTATCACCAGAATCGCATTAATACTGACGATTTGTACGTAACGAATATTTACATATAGACGTTTTAATAGTAATAGTTTAACGATGAGACGGGGCACGTAAGAGAGTCACACCAGTAGTTCGCCCGAAGTTCAGCATGTCAGAATCGCATATTGCAGTAAATTAGGGGATTATTCGCAAACGTTCATCATCATCATCATTATGTGAACCGTAAAAATGTTAAATCACAGACCATAATGCTTTATAAATGATTCTATAGTAATATATGCGTTTTGCTGTGGATAACTAGATGTGATACTGCAATCTGTGGTCATGAGTTGTTTTTTTTTTATTGCGCGGACAATTAATTGCTACCGGGTGTGTATTTCTAATACTACAATGTATTTATAAACATTTGCATATTATAATCAGTACATTGGATCTGGTATTCATAACTCCCAAAATTGAGTTTTCATTTATATTGCACGATTGGGCTAAAATATACACGTGACGTACGACACAAACTAACATACTAACACTCAAATGTAACTTGATCCATCTGATAGACAGAACATAATTTACCGCGAAACCCGATGAAACATTTCCCCATTCAATTTAATCTATAATTGATTTTCGTTTAAAAGGGATATATAATACACGTGGATACCTTATTTACTTTAGACAATTTACATGGTGTATTTTTATATGTGACATGTTATTTTATTTAATCGCTATCTTCATAGTTTTTACACATCGGCACACGGTAACAATAGAGTCACATTAAATCATATGAGCATATCATTCCATTGATGCTTTGCATGTTCGGTAATCATATACGTGGTTTGTTGACACACACATTAGACATACAGATGCTGCTTTCAATTATTCACTCAATTAATACATGTGTAGGCAAACTAAAACACCATGGCAACCACCAGGCATGACGAGTATGCGTGGTCGTCACGTGACTGTGAAAACGGTGTTTATATAAAATAATTCAGTTTGTGACACGGGTAGCTGAAACCGCTGCCACCGGTTGACTAAGATTCTCTTCCACCAAGCCCATCTTCGTCGTACATTTGGAATGTACCGATATTAAATTGATATCAGTTTGTCTTCATTTCCTGGTAATGAAGTTACATCAATACAATTAACATATGTATTAAAAAACGTGATGGTGATATGTGCTCATTCTGACGTGGGCTGGAGTTTTACTAACAACCGTCCACTAGCTTGTCAAGGTCGAGTGAGTTGCGCCCTCCGCGGTGCTCCATAGCCGTTAGTGGGGCCTGATGCCGTTCGGCCGTCGAGGGCGCCACACACGCCTACATGTCAGGCTAACCATCCACGTACTTGGGCAATATCTTCAAGTGGCTGTCTCGTAGTGTGTATTTGGTCCATATCAAAGCTTGTACCAATCCTAACACCAATGGAAACAGGCAGATAATTTGAAACATGACGCTATGCAATTGAGAAATTACATCCGGGTCAAAGTGTTCTCCGATTTTAACTTGTTCGTATCCATTTTCGTTCAGAATGGCGACCACGAGCATCGGCGCCAACGACTGAGCAGGTTTGGTGAATAATGCATTTGTGCCAAAAAACATTGATGATCGAGGAGAACTGGAATAAAATTTAAAAAAAGCATGTTTCCAGTGTATTTTTCTGTCACACTAATAGCCTACATTAAAAAAACAGTACAAGTAAAAAAAAACCATCATATTCAAATTCAGAATCTGTAATTGCAAATTTACGTTGTACTCCAAGACCACGCACAAAAATCATGCAAAAAGATCGTAATTAAAAGACAACAACCGAATACGAGGCCAAATCGCAAGTACAAAACAAAAGATAAATATACTACAATACACATTCAAATCCGTAAACAAATATGAACCCACAGGGCATAGAGCCAATAAAATAATGTAGGGTAAAATTTCGAAATAACTGAACACTCACGTGTAGCTTTCGCCAAATATCAATAGGATTTAAATATCAGTGGATTATACAAATACATATTCAATCAATTAAATCACTTGTGAAAAACTGTGATTGGGTATTGTCATATTAATGATCAGGGATATATCTCACCTTCTTCGATATTTCTTGAGATCGTCATCAATACAATCTGACATCAATATGCCTAAATATCGCGATGTAGCATTGGGAACAATCCTAGAAATTAAACATAGACATTCGTAAAAAAAGTTTGTTTTACAACTCTTCTATACTGCTGAATATATAGATCATACGATCTTCGCATCCGAAGCGAAAAAAATAACCAAAATACCTTTAAATTTGGTATATTGGTAGGTGGTGCCGTGAGGTAGTCTAACAACTGCCCTGGACAAAAAATGTTTTCCACTGACTCTAATTCCAGACACAACGCTTTTGGCTGCTTTTGATATTGATGCATTGTCAGAAGGTTTAATTTTGTCAAAACACGATCACATTGCTATATGTAGCCTATTTGCAGACATTACTCTTTATATTGAAGCATGTAATAGATAATGTATATTCTTCTTCACATAACTATAACAATAAGGTAATCATATTGTTTGCATAATTCAAGTAAATGTAAATTGTGTAATTTGTAACCATATTAACACGTCTAGTTGTGAGAAATGAGGTAACAATAGTTTCAGTTGCATTCAGAGGCATAGCAACACGAACAACTGCCACAAATAACTGAAACTACATCTGAAATAATTGTATTTTATATAATACAGCTAGTTGATCATAAGTTGATCATCATAACAAAAATCAGTGGAAAGCGCCCTCTGTTATTAATATACAGTCATTTACCATTACAGTTCTTGAGAAAAAAAGCTGAGCACAACACGAAAACAATCGGGGATCACTCTTCCTTCAAATACTATAATAGACGTTAATTTCTGACGTCACGCGTTCTTGTATTACTGGTTGTTTCTATGGTTACGTGCATCACTTAAGAGGTTATCAACTGATACTAAGTTGTTCGTAGAGCTGGTTAGTACTAGTAACATCATCGGCTAGATTATCAACCAACCAAGATGAGTGGATAATACGGTCCATGACAATGCGAGTATTAAGTAGTATCAAGTGATATCACACGAATTAGTTAAAGGGTGGTAGTCGTGGCGCCACGCATGCGCGAGATATATGGGTCTCATATAAACAAAGATAGCGATTTTGACTGTTGCGCAGATAAACGAGTACAAACTGAGACGTTACCAAGCTTTAATTAGGTATTTTTTAGGTGATTGTAGGTATCGAAAGAGTCACCGGCGGTATTCAGTGCAAATCGCGCACAGGTCAAACCTATCACTTGTCATTTCCGTTAGAAGAGCGCATTGGTTTGTGGAAAAATCGTGAGTTGTTGGAGTTGCGCTTACCATACCCGAGTTATGCTAATTAAGCGTGACGTCTAAGCGCGTTGGTGAACGCGCATTTGCAGTTAAGGCTTTTCACGTTTCAGTGATATTTTTTTGTCATTATCGCCATGGTTACAGTGGAGTACCAGTTAGTGATAATTCACGTTAAACATCACTATTGGGAATGATATAATTCATGATCATGTGATAGTCTATTTTATATTCAAAAATTATCAGTTCGAATGATGCTCAATACGAAAAAGAACTTTGAAACTGGCGTGTATCAACAAACCCTGTGTAAATTTCACAATCTACGCTGACACGTGACATTGGTGAAGAACGTTGCCAGACAAAACATGGATGATAACCATAATACGTACGTGTCCACCAGAATAAAGCAAACAAGTATCCATGGATGTGACGGTCCGATCAAATACATCAGAATTGCAGTACATATCTTGATGTAAAACGTCATCTGATATAATTTGAACGCTCCAACTTTTTGGACAACAGGACTCCATAGCAGGACGAACACCTGTAAAAGTTAAATGTCTAATTATTATCGCCAAATAGCTCTTTCTAGCGTTTAATCCCAGTTTAACTTAAAGTTTGTGAAATAATATAATTGCCAATGAATAACTTTACTAGGTGCAAGTAAAAGTGTGCCACAGAAATTGTCAGTAAATAACATACAGATGACGTAATAGTATACGTAAACCTAATCGCATCCATTCTACGCAATATGCAATACACCTCTAACACGGATATATTGCAAGTGCTGTAACGTTGGAGATTAAATAATTGTATTTGACATATATTAAAAGGTAATACAGTTTAACGTTGAACAGCGGCGGCGAATTTGACAATATAATGCTAGAACGTATATTTGTATAACTGTATACGGTGTTATATAATGTTCTAACACTGGGTGATTCCGAAAATGAAATTATAATGTAAAACTATAGCAACTTCATTCCGTTGAATATTACGCCGAGTTAAACTTCATATTAATGAGACTAATTGTGCGATCAAGTCAAATATCAAACTAACCTGTGGTAAAACAAACACTGAACCGTACAGCAATTTCTTCACAAAATCAGACACCTGTTCACTGGGAAGAAGTTCGTTGGCGAGAATACTGAGGAAATTTCTCCCATACGTCATATGGAATTCTGTACAAAAGTTGACCATGACGAGAATAAGGACGTTTCTCTGGCGAAATATTTGCCAATATCCACGAAATATTGACAACGGAGGTTCGTTTTCGGAATTCTTTACCTCCTGTTCAACATCCTTTGTTGGACGTTTCACGTCAACGTCATATTCGCTTCTGGCATTCAACCCCGTATAGGACATTGCCAACCAACTCAGTAACGCTACAAGAACACAGACTATTTGGAACATCCTGAAATTATTGAGGCTATTGGAGAGTAACTCACACCAAAACACGGATGAAGATCCGATGACGTTACCTATCACTCCGTAACGGGTGAGACGGAGCCGATCATCGTGATGTTTCGACATTTCCGCGTACAATGTGCACTGAGCGAGCAATACAAACGTGAATAACGCGTCATAGGCACACACAGATACCAATAAATGTACTCCTATTAGCCAATCATTTTGTTTATATTCGGCCCATGGAAACCACGGCAACAGGAAACTAAGTGCAAACACGGGAGCACCGAAAAGAATTGAATAACGTCGCCGTTTGAAAATAGAATGCGTTGAGTTGTCTTGGAAATATGCAAATAATGGGTCATTAATTGCGTTCCATAATAAGTATATAATCTGTGCGACATTGAACCATTCTTGTGATATTTTATACGTGTTGAGAAATAATTTGACATAATAGAAAGTGAAGATCGAGTTCATCATGGAAGCAGCTATTTCGGTGGTGGCGTAAGCCAACGCATTTTTGTGGAGCGCCATCGTGGGCAAGAATCAGTAGAGCTGGGGCAAGTTGAACACCTGCAACATAAACACAGAACGACGTTGACGTCACAAGAAACCATGATAAAATTCAAGCAGGAGAGCACTAGACGGTTATATCACATGATACCCTGAACAATACCCATAGATTTAAACATAGTTGAACTCTGGTGACCTTGCCCTTTGTTATATAATATAATTCCCTTTATCATAGTTTGTTTCAATATAAAAATGCATTGTCATAATTAATTTTGAATACAAACAAGTTTTGGGGTTGAACCAACAGTGGGGAATCAGTCTACCGAATGTCCTTAAAAGATGTAAATATCTTACAAAAACATTGGTGCCTTATTTGTTTAATTATTTTAAGGAACATAATTTCCAGCTTTATTGAAAGTAATTGAGATATTTTAGAATAAAAACAAATGTCTCATTGCAAGAAAAAAGTGCTGCATTTAGATGTGAATAGATTCATAAAACATGCAAGATAACAGAAAAATTTAGCTGGCTTTAGTTCAAGTATTTTGTACAGGTGTCTGTCAAAAATGAATGATTCACTGAGACAAATATGAACTGCCTCATTGTGTGACTACTGTATTATATGAAAAGTAAAAAAACACCCTTTATGAATAGCTATCATGTTGCAAGCTCTGCTTTCTATGCAAATCAACTTAAATAGTTGGTGTCCAGTGGAGGGAGAAGTCAACAGTACTGTTGCCTCCTGAGAAACTACATCTTCAAACACTGCAATCTC